GAAGCTATTCAAAGTGAGAGAGAAGGCTGCCCAAATGTTAAGCAGCAACCTTCAGGGAAGGCAGCTGCTGTTAAGTGGTATGTATTGTTTTAGACCTTCCTCATTCGATGACTGACTGGGAATTCTGCTTCTTGCTCCAAAAGACGGAAATGGCATCTTTTGTTTGCTTGACCCTGGAAGGCAGAGGAAGTTGGAGACTTTATTTATTCAACCCCAAGACATGGGAACTTACAGAACATTGTCGCTTCCCAAAGAGCTTTTGTTTTTATTTTCCTTCTCAGCCTGTGTGGGTTCTGTTTGCCCTATGGATTTTTCACAGACAGTTTGCTACCAGCCTTGGACATCTGTGAGTGGCTTTTGCACGTGGCTGTCAGTTGAAAGAACGCTCTTTGTAGCTGTATGCAAATAATCACGCTGCTTGATGGCAGAAATCCCTCCAGTTTTGATCAAAAAGCCCTACCACTAGATTTGTTATTGACCTTTTTAATTAGAATGTGTATTATTTCAGAGCACTTTTGAAGTCTGTTACATCAGTATGATGACGGATGCTAGGAAGGAAGGCTGAGGAAATGAGGAGAAGCTGGCTAACACAACAGAGCACATGGACTTTGCAGAACTCACCATCCTGTTCCCAGTAAATTTCTGCCTTAAAGAGAGTATTTTGCTGTTGTGTTTCATGAAAAAACACTTAAAGAGAACAGGGTTTCTTAAGAACCAGGAACATGCAAGTTACAGAGAATCAGGGACACAAACAATTATTTCCAAGGAAGGCTGAAGACAAGTCCCACTGTGTGGCATCAGACTAAGGACCCATCCAGGATGTTTACATAAAATTCAAACCTCTCTCTGTCATGGCTGAAATTCCCAGAAAATGAGCCTTGGATCTCACAAGTGGCTTTCCCATCATGTCTCAGGTTTGGCTGAGAATGGAGACATCAACTCTCAATTTAGAGAGAACAAATGATGGAAGGACTTTTACATATAGGAAACTGTTTTGCACAGGGATCCTAAGAAGAAAAAAGGCCTTTTTGGTCTTTATGCTGCTGCTAAGGCCACCAGTTCTCATGGTGAGTACAGACATGCACACTGACAGCTGCTCCTACCAAGAGAAAGTGAAAGCTGTGAGTATCTAACCCAATCCTAGCGAGAAATGCATTAATGAAAGCGGCTTCTTGGGCTAAATGTTGAATGCTACCTCCTACACTCAATGACTGTACATATGTTCTTACTTTTGTGTGCTGCAGGAGAGGACTACTGGTGGTGTGTGCTGCGCCAGAGAGCTGCAGGCATCCTGCAGAGACAAAAGGCTCGTGCTTGGGATAGGCAAAGTGGCTTAGCTATGCTGTACTCTATAGATTATTTTGATCCAAAGATCGACGTTATAACCCACTGCATTTTTTACAGCAGTTAAGTAAATACAAGGGCAATGGCAGATGTTTTCATTTAAACTTCAAGAAAGGCACCGCCTATACGTCAATTTGGAATTGGTGTAATGAGCCAACAAGACTCTGAATTACAATAAAAGCAAATTTAGGAATGAAATCTACTGGAGACTTAACTGGTCTCAAGTGCATAGTTAGATTTCTAAAATAATAGCTGCAATCCAGCATAACAAACATGACTTGCTTAAAAACAAAAGCTGGAGTTTAACTGTGATTTGCAGTTGGCTTTCATTCCCATGAGAAACTGCAAGATATTTCTTCTTGGAGTAACTTCTCAGTGAAGCCACACCAATGGTGCCCCCAAAACCACATATAGTGGGACAAGGACTACCCAGTTCTGCTTTTTTCCTTCCACACTTACCAGCCCTAAGGTCCTTCAGGTACCATCAGGCAGATTTTCTGAGCACTGCTTGTGCCCACAAATGCCAGGGCTTTGTCGCTGGGCAGGGGCAGGTCAAAACATGGGCATGGCTGGCTGTGGGGGCCGAGGGGAGAGCTGTACCAGGGAACAATAGCCAGCTGGGAAATGGGAGGAGGGTAAAGGGCAGCAAAAGCATCTGGGGATGCAGAAATGAAGGAGCTGACAGCAAGTGCTGGCTGTGAATCGGGGGGTGACAGGCTGGGGAAGATGGAATTGGTAAGAGGGCAAGAGGGGAAGGCTTTAACACGTACCAACATGTAACAAGTTACTATACTTTTTTTAAAAAATATAATATTTAAACATATTGAACATATATTATCACATTAAACAGACTTAAATATATTTCTGCAGAGAAGCCCTCAGTGGGGAGTTTGCTTGCTTATCCTCACGCTCACAGAAGGGCATGGGCAACCCAGGCTGACCAGAAGGAACACATCAGGGAAAGTTACAAGGTAATGGCCATTTTTACTCTTTTCTGAAATACAACTGAATCATTTTTGTCTAATTTTTATCTTGAAAATGAATAAAGTACTGTAATTGCTTTGTACAATAAAGTTACCTTAATTTTCCATCTTACTGAATGCACAAACACACACACACGTCCGCCACAAAATTTTCTGTTGAGATTTGCCCTTAGCTGCAAAGCACTGGCGCTGCCCCTGGCTGGATTTACCCCAACTCTTCCCTCCAGGAAAAACTTTTCAAACTGTAAAATTGATTCTGCTTTGTACACCTGTGAAAACTGCCAGACCCACCTTGCAGAACCGTGTCATTAACCTCCATGCAGAGTCATGTTGGACAGTGACTGACAACTCATTTTACTTCCTAATCTTTGTCCGTACCTGTTCTCTGTCCCCGCAGCCCGTGGTGGGAAGGGCTCAAGCCAGCTAAAGGCAGAGACTACAGCAGAGCTCAGAAGGCACTCAAAGCAATTAAAGAGCAATCAGAAAAGGATGACAGCCCTGCTGGGAAAAGCCTGCTCAAGCAGTTCAAAGGGTTCTTGACTGAACTGCAAGCTGTTTCATGTTTGGAAACAGTGTCATGGGTAAACTTTAGTACACAGAAAAATAAAGATCCTGCAAGATCTTTAGAAAGAGGAAAGCAAGTGATGAAGTTCCAAAAAGGTTTCAAAGCAAAGGCCACTTCAGCTGCATTCCCTTCATCTCCTCTGCCAGGTTTGTGGTAGCAAAAAGGAAGGGCAAGTAAGTGGCACTGGAAAAAGTTTCCCTTCTTGCACAGAGATCTGGCTGAGACATAAGAACAGGCAGAAGAGGACAAGTTCTTTCACTGAAAGTTTTCCCAGTTCCTCCCAGGGAGACCTGTCCTCTTCTAGCAGCCAAATCTCAGCAGGTGGGCTGAGACTTAAGAAAAAAAAGAATTAAGGTGGGCTTCAAAGACCAGCAAACAGCTGGGAGCAAAGCTTTGTTGTCAGCTAACTTCCAGATGCTTGTACAGTCCCTGCAGAGGCAGAATAGTGTGGAGGAGCAATGTTCTCAAAGAAGAGAAATGGGTTCTTCTCCAGACACAACTTTTTAGGGAATCGCCTCCTCCAGGTAATCTACTAATGATCAATTCAAAAATCCAGCCAAGTTACCTACTAGCTCTTTTGTAATTTTTGTTCTAATACCTGGCTGAGTGTCACAGAGGGAGCTGTGTTTGATGCCGTTGTTTACTTAATGCTATCCTTGTGTCTCATCTGTTTCAACATCTCTGCCCAAATCCCTGGACATTTTTTTATTTCCTGGATTGTGCTGATGTTCTGAAGAAAAATCCCAGAGAACTCCAGTAACTATTATTTCACAATGTTTCATTATTAATGAAGGATAAGATTTGTCACTGGATTCTGATGTGTATTTTCCAAACTAGATTTACTTCAACAACTGAAAAGTTATTTCAAGCAAAACAAGACTCAGTTACATGTTAGGAAGAAATACTTTGTAATTTAGAAATAGTGTTTGTTCTTCAAGTGATAAAGTGCTCATTTGCACATGATAGTTCAGCTCAGCCAGAAAAGGATTTTTGTAATCTACATGAAAAGGGCGGTTCAGGCAGATAAATGCCAAAAATAATTCTGATATATCTAATAAAAATTCCCCCAAAATAGCTAGTTATGGTATAACACACTCGGGTTACTGTACTGCATGGGAAAATGTAATTATCAAAATGTTGAAAGCCTGAACTGATTTTTTTTCTCCCTTAGTTTATGGAAATTCACATCATCAGACAATGTTTTCAGCGTGCTTGAATTTAACAAAAACATTTGGGTTTATGATTCACTTGTACTGTAAAACACATAAGTTTTAAAAAGGATCATGTGCACAGATATTCAGAAAGAAAAGTTTATACAGTTACAGGGTTCACGATGCATTTAATGACTGTGACAGTGACCCCGTGCCCCAAACATGTCCTAATTTGGCAGTTCCTCACCATATTAATTAATGGTATATTTATACAGTTCACATCCTGATTCTCATGTGGAACTAAAAGGCAGATCAGGAAGATTTCTGTTCGCTAATAAGCCCAAGCCCCTAGTGCAAAGCTGCTCTCTCTTCTGTCCTGCAGCACTCTAACATGATTATTATTAATCCTGACCACGTAGTGCAGAGAGGTCCCGCTCACGCTGAGTGTTGTATAACGGAGGGGCAGACAGCTGAGGAAGCTGATGGAAAGCAGTCAGTAACAAACCAGTGAGGGCCAGGAATTTGCTCTGATAAGCAGGCATCGGAGGAACACAAATGAGAGGGTGAGGACAGTCTCCACACTCCATGAGACCTTTATAGCCACCAAGTTAGAGAAGCTAGGTGACATTGAAGTAACCCTTAATCAGCTGTGTGCAAATCACTGGGACTGGATGACACCACCCCTGAGTCCCTGAAGGAGCCAGAATGAGATACTGCAGAACTGCTGGCCAAGGCACGCAGCCTCTCCTTACAGTCTTGTTGACCAGGCACTGGTCATTTGCCAGTGACCCAGTTCCAGCAGAGACCCCGGCAACTACAGCCTAGTAATGACCAGTTTGATTTCTTTTTCACAGCTATAACAACAGACATTTGGTCTGAGTTTGATTTCCACGTACAAGTCAGGCACATCTCTTTGAAATTATTCTCCTATCATTCTCTTCCATGTTTTGGACTTACCATTGATGTTTACAGCTGGCAACACTATAGACATCTTCGGTCTCCTGGTCTTGTTATGTGTAGTGGCTGGCAATAAAAGGTGGTCCTGGAAAATAGGGGAAAAGATGTGTTAAATCTACCCTGGAAGAACAGAGCTGGGAAAATTCCTTTCCATTCTGACTTACAGGCATTCCACATAAAACTATTTACAACATCTTAGCAAATTCAAATTGTTGAGGGAGTCTTCCAAAAGTCACAGCAATAGCTCATGCTGTGTAACCAAGAAGAAATCCCTATCACATGCAGGAGAATATGAAAAAGCCTTGATCATGTGGAAAGAGATGGAAACTCCTATTAGGCCCTCGTTCAACAGAATACTTATGTATATGATTAAAGTAATTTAACTTGACTTCAGCGATACTTAAACATGTGGTTAAGGGCTTTGCTGAAATGGTGCGTTTACGTGCAGTGCTGCCTGCTTTATATATAAATGTCATCTTGCTATATCTCTGTCAAGCTCTACACCACATGCCTCGTGCAGTAGGACCGTATCGGTCAGGGCTGTCAAGGGGTGTGAAATACGAGCTCTGCTGACAAAACCTACCAGGGAAGTTTGACAGCAAAGCTGTGCTTTAGAAGCTTATCTCAGCTGCGAGGTGGCTGGGTGCTGCTGTAAGACAGCTGTGTCTTTTAGCAGTGGAAGCTGCAACTGCTCTGGATACAGACCTGACCTGCAAGGAAAAATGCAGCCTTTCTTCATTTTCTATTTTTTTTTGCTGTTGCTGAACTCAAATCGCTCAACTTGTAGCCTGGGAAAATACGGTTCTTCCTTTATCAACAGAAGTAACAGAACATAAAGCACCAGTTCGGGCATCTCCCATATTATTGTGCTATGCTGATCTAAATGGCCCAAAGAAAGACTACTAAGAATGAGGGAAGCTTCCTAGTATTTAGGAGCAAAAGACTGTGTTTATACAATGGACAAATTGAGTTGAAATTTCTAACTCAGGCTCTAAGCGAAACAAAAACCTGCCAATCACGAGGTGTCTTTTCCAGGCCCCAAAGAATTAATGGAAAGGTTTATTTTCCCAGCCCCCGTGTTTGCCCTTCTCCCAGTCCCAGCAATGCCAAATTCATTCCCAGCATCTCTGAGAAGAACAAGAGCTGGCAGGTGCCACCATGTCAAACACGCGGAGACTAAGTAGTTTTCGCAACTGTCCTAAAACCAAATCTGAACATCTGCCTTTCACTTTTCAAGATTTGGCAACTAATCTCACATGGTTAAAAAGCAGAAACAAGTTTGATGCTCTCATCTCATTTCATGCTTTCCCATTTTTAAAACTCCCATGATATTTCACAAATTCAGCACTCAGAAACTTTAGCTGGAGCTTTTCGGTTCCCTGGTTAAGGCTAAGAACAGGCACACAAACAACTCATGCTTTTGGCCTTTTGGTCAAGGTTATCTTTTTGGCAGACTGAATTAAGACTTCCTTCAGGACACGGTTGTTAACTTCTCACTGTCAGTGTAACTGTATTTTTCCCATTTTAATGGGAAAAATCTAAACACTACATTGTCATGTCTAAGATTCAGGGAAGTGAGTTACACATAAAGTTGGGTAATAAATGTATCAAGATATTCTGTAGAGATATTGCAGAACTATCAATACCTTTTTTAACCACCAAAAAATCCCCTAAAAAACCAAATGACTGACCATGAGAAGAAAACATTACTTCAATAAATGACCGTAATTAAAAACATCTTGGTACCAAAATTATAAAACCACTCTGGTATAATTCTCAGACTACATATGTAATTCCCATCTCATTTGTGAACCACCGAGATTAAGGCAACAGTAAGTAAGATGATGAACTTCACAGAAAAGCTGTTCTTGAAATTCAATGTTCCCAAGGGAACAGGCCAAAGATAAGATGTCCATTAAAACCACATTTTGTAACAATGTCCTTGTCATTATTTGATGACTATTTTTAACATCGCTTAAACAATGCTTATCCTGGCTTTTCCTTTTTCAATGCCTCTGAGTCCACAACATCATTACCTAGGAAAACACAAGTACTGCGTAGGTGATCACCTATGAATCATTACAAGCAACTACTATCTTTTGCTAACATATCTGAAGATCAGTAGATTAATTGATGCTGGACTAGTTTTGCTTATAATGGCACATTTACCTTCTGTACGTATAAAATGTATTAAGAACTATCACTTTACAGTCAGAGTACCTCCATAGAAATAAACAGCAGTGTCATGACAGAAGTCCTATGGTAACTACAGGGGCAGTGCAACCACCTTGGACCTGGCCTTTGCAAGCTCTGCATCTCCTCCATCATGGTTAAATTCAAAGACCTGGCTCAGACTGACTCTGCAGTTAACAAATATCATTTCCATGACTATAACGCAGCCAAACTATGCACTAATACTGCTGGGCAGGTTCAGGTTCCACCAAACTGATCTGCTTGAAAACAATACTTTCTTCTAAACCTTGCACTGGAAATGAGATGTAAAATTCACCTTTCTTAGTTTCATCTCACCTAGAAGTCTTTTTTTTTTTAAATACCAGGATTTAATAACAACTCATTTTAGACTTCTGTGAATGACGTTTCAAGTACTGCAAATAAGAAATGAGCAGTTTACCACTATCTGCTCTGCTTCCTCATAATTCTGGCTTAAAACAAAACACCAAGTCATTTTCTGGCAGACTAGTCAATTGAAGGGGGCAGCTCCAGCAGGTATTTCACTCTGCATTAAGATAGCACTGGAGATGACAGGAGCTCCCGCGAAGCCTGCTCCTCTCCAGTGATGATCATGAGAATGAGGTTTCGTTCAGGCTGGTCAACCAACCAAACACCTGAAGCTGTATCAAATGAATCCCACCCAGACAGTCTTCCTTCCCTGAACTCAGAGAAACAAAGGAGTGTTGTTTTACAGACCACAATTACAGACATTCAAACCCAAAGAAATACAAGGAGGGGGACAGATATATAAAATGCCAATATTATAAATCTAACCTACTGAAGTGAAATTATTTTGCACAATTCGTGGCAGCCCAACACATCCTGCTCAGCCACATAAAATCCTGTTAGAAACTGGTAAGATAAAAACTTTGATACCTCTTATCTGTGCACTGTTACTAGCAATCCCTCCACACATAACCCAACAAGATCAACTCACTGGATCTGAAATAAAGTGCACAGAGAACTATTTTCAATGAAGCTACTCTGCTACCCAAGACATTAAAATTAACTTTCGACTAGTTTCCAGACTCTGAAATGTCTCCTAAACTACACAGCCGAGTGGTACGTTCATGTATCAATTCACCTGCTACTCCTCTGTTTTACTGGAGCAGTTTGAACAGTGTGGGAGGGAAAACCCAGAGACTTCTGCTCCCACAGCATAGTGAGATAATGAATGTGAAATAATTTACACTTGGATTTGTGTATCCAAATACGCCTTGGAGCTGCTGCACAACTCCCCAGTGTTTCAACACTAACTTTGGAGAAGCACACATATAAGAAGCCAGTCAGCCCTAAGTTCAAACTGCTACCAAGAGCTGATGTGCAAGATGCACAGATTGTCTGGAAACTGCATATTTCCCATCTCTACTAAAAGGAGCTAAATCCAATAAAATTTTTAAAAATCTGTAATTAGGGAGATTTATCACATCTCCCTAATAATCTTCATCTTTCATATGCAGGAGCACCCCTCTGACAAACATTCCTAACTTGCAAAGTTTCATAATTACCCTCATTCTACATTGAAGGCAAAGACAGCAGCAGGTATGCTGCAGAGTATCATAAATATTTTGCCTACAACTTAGCTGTTGAGTACAAAAGTCTTCAAACAGTCCCCAACTTTTATTTGAAAGCCATATCTATTTATATGCAACATAAATGAGTATATGGGTTAGTGATTAGAAAGAAATTAGGCCTTTAGAAACATTGTTTGAATATATTTCTAACACATAAAATATTTTGTCCTGTTCTGAAGTATGCTGAACTGCATCCCAGAGGGGATGGTTCATGCTATTACTCATCCCCAATTTTAAGCAGTAGACAAAAATATCTAAAATTAAAACACTGTTTGTGATATTAACACATGGTATAAAACTGAAAATGAATAAAAGCAAATCTTACAAGTCAGCATCTGGCCCATGAGCACGAATGTCAACCAGAGGCAGAATAAATCACGACTATTACCCAACAACAGATGGCCTTGGCTTCAGCCAAGATTTGCACTTAGATGAGATGACAATTTAAATAGACGATGCAGACCTGAGACTGCTGGCAGAATGACTGGAAAAATATCAGCCTGGAAAGACAATATTTCAAAAGAGACCCCAGCTCTACCATTCTCATTTTGCTTTTGATTATCCCTACAGTTCAGTGATATTGAAGCCAGATGAAATGGACAGATAGACAAATATAGATATAGATACTAAAAATCCAGCCACAAATGTATTACCTTAATTTAATGAGCTGGGATACAGAAACACCCTTTTTCCTGGGGATAAAGTCTGAAGTTGTTACTTGTTAAACTTCTTATAATAATGACATTTGCCACCATAAAACATTCTGGGCACTATATAATTATAATTAAGCAGAGTTGTAAACATTTAGAAAGAAGGTGCCCCTATAGAATGAATTTCCTCACTGAATCTCTGCTGGCTATTTCAGTGCCTGCTTCTGGACTCAACAACACATGGAACGGTGATAAAGATTTTAAGGTTTCTTACATAAGATCAGTGTTGTCAGGGCTCTAACAGGGATCAGGCTTTGGAGCCTCATGTATCTCTAACCCCCACAGTCAACTGGCAATGCAAATCCTGTTCCACTGTGCTAGAATATTCCAAAACCAGCTGCTCCTGCAGCTTCAGCCTGAGTCTCATGACATGTGGTGTGCTTCTCAAAGTCTCTGCTACCTAGATGCATGACAACTTGCGGGCGTCTTAGCTTTTAGTTTAAAACAAGAAAAGAATTGTTTCTAACTCTCACAGTTAGAGGACACAAAGCAAATATCACTGCATACCATGAAGTTTCATTAAACAGAGAGAAAACAAGCCACTTAAGGGTCGTTTTTTATTTTTATTT